CCTTCATCTCTCACCATATCTCTCCCATTCAACCATCAAACACCCTTGTTCTTGGGCCATTTCTTCATCAACTCATAGCACAAGGCATCCTTACTCCATTGCAGCAACTTGAGGCTGTTCTCCAGAGCTTAGGAGCACCTAAACTTGGTCCAAGAGGTGCTGGTTTGCTGGTCTTCAAGGGTGAGTCCTTCTCTTCCCTTTTCTAGTCTTTTCTTGCTTCATATCTAAGCCATAGTTGCTTGCATTTTTGGGCTCCGACCCAAACTGTAAATCATCATATTTTGAGGTCCTCTTCATGTTTGATTGAGGACCTCTTTCTGTTTGAGGACAGTAGCTTGCACTTGCTTCATTATCCTCCTTGAATGCCATTTTCTTGCATGCTTTGGTAGCCTATTATACTTCTGTTTTTGGTCTTTTTACAGGCCTAGAAATAGTCTTATTTTGGCCCATTCTTCATGTTTCATTAAGGGTCTTTGGCTGTTTGATGAATATTTTGTATACTTTGTGTTATAGCCTCTTTTGAGCCTCATTTTGCATTGCATTTCTATCATGTTTGTATACTATTTTGGGGTTTTTACAGTTCTGTAAATATGCTTATTTTTGGTCCCTCTTCAATGTTGTTGAAGGGCTCTAACCTATTTGGAGTTAGCAGCTGTGAGTTGCTTCATAACCTCATGTTTAGGGCCATTTTTGCATGCTAATTTAGTCCCACTTGTGCTTACTGTTTGGCCTAAGGCTTAGTTTGGTTTGGTTATGATTTTTTACTGTCTTTCACGTGCACATGCAAATACATAGTGAAAGTTTGGTTGTTGATGGTTAAGAAAAATCTCTTGTATAATACATTATATGGTTTAAACTCTATGATTAAATTCAAGTATTACATAATAGATAAGAAAAATCTCTAATATAATACACTATTTCTTGGGTTTGTAGGAATGATTTGAAGGTTTGGTTGTTGGTGGTTTGAGATTGGTTTCAATCATATGAAGATATGTATTTGGGTATTTGCTTTATGGTTGCTAAAGTAATTAAAAGGGTGTAATATTTCAAAGTTTTTATGTTGATGATAAATCTTTTTTAATTGGCTTTAGATTCAACAAAAAAAAAAAAAGCATACATGAATGTTGAATTTCCTCTAATCACATTATTAGGCCAACAAAACATTACAAGTGTACTGTGCATTAAATTCATGGACAACAATTTTCTCACAAAAAAAAAAGAGTAAAAAAGAAATTAGTGAATGCATTAGTCAAAGAAGCAGGAGGTTCTAAATTGAACGTAAAGGCAAGCTATGATTGGCTGATTCAAAACCGTTGAAACATGCAAATTAGATAAGGGGAAATGTCATATGTTCAAACAAGATAAGTAATGTTAATGTAGAAAACATATAAAAAGGTAGGCACTATTTTTGTATGACTTCTCTATATATTTTTTTTCCCCCAAAATTGAACTATTTATAAGAGGATTATGTTTAATATAACACCTTTTTTTGGAGGAGCATCACCTAAGTTACAGAACACACCAAGTGCCATTTGAAAAGACTACGGTATCTTCTGGGTTATGAAGGATGCCTGTGAACTGTAGGTGACAAAATAGTACTTGGTGCTGATTTGGATTATCTTCATATGCTATATTTGAATAGTTGGGGGGAAGGGTGGGGAATATTGTGTTAGGCTTGTAAAATAGGTTTAAAGTTAGGAAAAGTGGTCAAGTTCTGGTTTTGGATTTTAATGGGTAACATAGAGTAGAAAATTAAAGAGTGGAAGAGGAAAGGCGAGATAAGTCAAGGAATCACTTCTAGGCATCATAGTTCACAACAAGGGTTGACTTGCATCACAATCCTAAAAGTGCATAGTTGCTGAAAATACCCCTGAAACTTGTTCTCTTTGTTGATTGAAAAATCAGTATTAGCTATGGACTTATAGGCAATTGTAGCACTACTTATAGTTAACTCCATATGCACTATCTTGACTATTAAAAGCCCTAAGAACTATATAAATAAAAAGATCCAATAACCTAACTTGATCGTTACTACGACTCATGAGCTTGACAATACACTGCATGAAAAGAAAATCTGGAAATTTTTAAAGTACTCATGATTCATAAAACATAGAACATACAAAAAAACAGACCACAACCATAACTTAAAAATTAAACTATTCTATGACCTATAACTTGGTTATGTAGGGTCCTATTCCTAATAAGCCCCACTTTGAATCGTGCTAATTTCTGAAGTTATTCCTAATGTCCAATTATATGGTGCTAGGCTGCTAGAATGATGCATCTGCAGAGCAACTCCTTGTAGCATCTTTCCTATTTCTTCATTATTAACCCACATCATTGCTTGTCTCATTTAAGAAATATAATCTACTCTAAGGATATTTTACAGTACTATATTATAATCTAGGGCAATGACTTAACTCTACATTGCAGGGTATCCATGGTATTTTTTATCAAGGTATGATAAAGTTGTAGGATGATCTCTATGATGCGACTAATAATTACACAGATAGATGGCTTGCTTCTAGTACATATTATCTTAAAATGATGCATCTGCAGAGCAACTCCTTTTCTCTTAGTTATTCTTAATGTTCAATTATATGGTGCTAGGCTGCTAGAATCTTGCTAAAGCAATGGATTCTAGAGTTTATCATTTTCATTTTGTGGGAAAAGGTGTGATAGCTGAATAAATTTATTATATATATATATATATATCTTTGTGGAGAAATTTTTGGGACCCCCTTTTTTGGGGGTTCCATGACCCCCAATTTGATCTTGGCCCTTAATGTGTGTGTGGTGTGGACCCCATATTATGAGTGGTTAGGATGAGAGTGGAGGTTGTGGGGGTCATGTAGGTGTGAGGGCCTCTATCATAATTGTATCTTTGTGTGAGTGTGGAAATTTTTGGGTAAAGTAGACCAACAAGGTTTCCACTTGATCTTTACAAAGTCAAAAAGATCCTTATTCCAAAAAGGCAATGTTCCCTATGAGATAGCATTAATAATTTCACATAAACTCAAGTTGGTAATGCTATAAATCCAAATTATTGCATGCATAATTCCCTTGAAACCAAAAAATGTGCATCATTGTTTGTTTATCTCATGGTTCATTGCATGAACACTTTCATAAACAAGAAGCAATGACAATAAAAAGAGGCAACAATTTTCTCTAATCACATTATCAAGCCAACAAAACATTACAAACTGTGCATTAAATTCATAAACAACACATTTCTCAACACACACACACATACACACAAAAGAAGAGAAAAAAAATGAACTAGTTATGTTGTCTTGCATATTGATATATAGAACTTGACATTGTTGAGGTGGCATGCAATTAAGTAAGAACCCAAAACTAGTGTCTATGAAAATGATATTAGATGCCCTGGCTGCACACAAATGAAACAAAACATATCTAACAGTAAAGACTAGCAACTGTCCCATAAAATAGTAGACTCATGTGTGCACTAGTATTTGATAACTGGGTTCAACAATGGGTAGGAGATGGAAAGTTATAATTTGTTGAATTTCAATTTGGGAGGTCTGGTTTTTTTTTCTATGTTTAGCTGTATCAATGGAACCTTTGCATCTATAATGACCAATTTCATAATTTCAAATTTGCTTCATAGTTGATATTGAACATGACATTGGTAAGAATGGCCATGAGTTGTTTATAATGAAGCCATACATGTCTATTTTGATGCAGCTTTACTAAAGTAAATCAAACTTCTATGATTGAAGAAATGAAAGGAAAGAGTAGTAAGTTCACTAATTTTGTTGTTTCATGTATCCCTTATACAGATAGGTCCTTATTGTCTTTGAATTATTGTAGTAAAAGAGTTCGGGCATACATAAATGTATAGGTTTCAATAACACACTGGAAGCATTAAAATGAGTTGGTACATGTCCTTGAAATATTATTTTTAAACCTACAAATTCTTATTTGGAATAATTCATAGTCAACTATGTTGGTAACTCGGTCACGTTTTGCTGGTAAATGGGATATCAGAAGTACCTGAGGCATGATATAGATGATTGACGTCATGTAATTGACATACTTGATGTGGATAAAAAAAAAGTTAGTAGGCAATGTTTTTCATGCAATATTTCATATACAGATGAGATTTTGAATATTTGGGATAATAAAACAGCAACACTACAAAATAAAGCAAGTACTTTGGGGCTAAGAAAAACATAGTTGTATGTATATATATGTGTAAGGAGCAATATTTATCTGGAAATATCAACTATATTGGGTAATGATGTCTATTAATGAGAATGAGACTAGGAAATACAACTGTGTAAAATAAGAAGTGGCTTTTTGATGAAGTGTCGTGGGTGAACTCAGTCCCACTTAATTGGAATAAAACATAGCCCTAATAGGATGGATTAGTTGATCAGTTTCAGTATTACATTTCCACATACTTGGGATAAGGAATGAATGAGGACTTATAAATTGTCTCTATCATGATCTTGTGAGCATCTTTATTACTATGATTATTATGATCATTATAATGATTGTTGTTGTTAAGATCATGTTCAAACCAATAAAAAAAAATGTAGGCACTATTACTCCATTGTGGAATTTTATCAAACACCAAGCATACATAATGAATCCTCAAGCATGAGATTTTATTGTGTAGCATCAACAACAATCCATTCACTTCACTAATTATATTGGTTAAAATATGAATATCATAGATGATCAAAAATCAAAATACCAAACATGTTAATCAATCTATTTTCTAAATTATTTTCCCAAATCAAAATCATTCAAGACATTCATGAAATCCTTCAAAGTAGAGAAGTTTTGGAGATATTAGAAGCAATGAATGGAATGGCAAGTCTTAGCTTAACAATGAATTTCATTGACCCAAACTTGATCGAAGACAGTAAGGGAAAAAGAGAAACAGAGACAGTAGAAGAAAGAGAGAAGGGTAGAGAGATAAACCGAGAGACAAGAAGAAATAAAGGGATAGAGAAAGAGAGCAAATTGACCTTGAAATCACAATGATGCTATAGCTTGATGTCGTCAATACGTCGTAGGGGAAGATGAACTCTGATACTTCGCCAAAGAAGTGTTGTGGAGTAGGGCACAAATTGTGAGTTGAACCTTTTTTTTTTTTTTTTGGACTGAAATTCTAATATGTTATTCACCCACCCACACATACACATACACACACACACACACAAAACCAATTCTGCGGGAAATCAGAGTTGAATTTACCGGGCCTTTATTTTACTTTGCTTTTTGTAACAGTTGAGTACAACCCGTCACTATAAAAGAACATATGGTAGCATCTTCGGAAAAAAATGTTACTAAAAATTTAATTTTTAGTTGTGTTCAATAACCGTTACAATAGCCCATCTATAGCAGCATTTTTCAAGCTGTTGCAATTAAAAAAGCTACTAAAACCTAATTTTCTTGTAGTGGTTGAAGATGGCTAGAAGCACCATCCTCTTTCTATAAAGCAGAGAGAGATAAAGGATTAGGGTTTAGAAAGAGGGTTGTTCATACTGAATTTTTATTATTTAAAATTGTGAAACCTAATCGCTTTGTTTTCTTTTTATTTTTAGAATTCACTTTTCAAAAAAATTTACTTTTTCATTTTCCGAATTTTTTTCGTTCTCACTGATTTTTTTAATATTTTAAGATTTTTTTTAAAAAAAATTTTAGACACACTTAACATAAATACACTTAAAAGTATAATATTTGTGAAAAAAATCTTTAAAAATTCACTAAATACCAAAAATACCAAAAAGAAAATATAAAAATTCAGTATATTTTTCATATTTTTGTGTATCTATTTAATTTTTTTAAATATTTTTTCGTAAATATTTTACTATTTAGATATATCTAAGTAAGGTGTATCTAAAAAAGTTATATAAAAAAAAATTTGTTTAAAATTTAAAAAAATTTTACTAAAAACAAAAAAAATATGAAAAATATAAATTCAATTTTTAAAAAATTAAATTTAGAAAATTGAAACTAAACACACTGAATACTTTTTGTTAAGATTTTAAAAAATAATTTAACACTTGTCAATTAATAAATGAGGTGAAGCAGTGCATTCAAAAAAATTATGACAGTGATAGAGAGCTCTAAGTATAGAGATCTATACAATTGGCAGTGAAAAAGAAAAAAAAAGAAAAAGAAAAAGACAAATCATAATGGAGAAAAAGATAAATTAGAACTCTTTTAGAGCTTTAAAACATTTTCCAAGAAATTATTGGATGTTCTAGGTGGTGCCCCATGCCAATAACGATGCGCCATTTAAGCATTCTGTCAGTGGACTTGCCACATTGGCAGCACATTAACCCCTGCATACAAACATTAACCAGCGTTATCAAAAGATTGAAAACTAGTTTTGAAATTTTTGAAGTACTCTTAGGCCATGTTTGTTTGGACGGACTGGATTAGTATTCCCATGACTAATAGCCCTAGGACTACCAATCTGTTGGATTATGTATCCTATCTTAATTAATAGTCAAGTTTAAAATAATTAATCCATACTTCAATTGTTTAACCAAACATCGGATTAATAATTTTATTGGACTGTTAGTCCAATCCCAAGCTCATGTCCACCCAAACAAACATGGCCTTAAAGTTGTGTTTGGTTAGAAAATTTGAAAATAAATTTGAAAAGAGAAAAAAAAAAATAAGTAAAATGTAAATAAAATATACTTATATTTCACTTAATTTTATATACTTTTTCCTTTTTTATTTTCAAATTCTTTTTTAAATTTCTCAACTAAACACAGCATAAAAGATTTTCAAATTCATCATCCACTTTCACTACCGCCCAAGTAGCTCCACTTGGCTGAGTTTTGTCGATGGTGGTTCAATGACCAGAGGAACTAGCCATTGTACTTCATTTTTTAGCCTACTTTTCTTTAGATTTTTTAGTTTAACTTGAGTGAATTCATAAAAAAATTATTAATGTAATTAGGGTGTATTTGTTTTGAAGGATTACGGGGTGAGATTGGACTATTAATCCTCCGGACTAATAGTTCATTGTTTGTTTCATTTTTTTTTGCTCCGGACTATTAGTCCACAAATATGGGACTATCCTATCTCATGGGGGGAGGTGGGATAGAAACCATGGGATTGATATCCCATAAGATTATTTTATGAAATGTCCATTTTACCCTCCATGCTATTATTTTGCAAACAATTGAAAAATGATAAAATAATCTTTTGAACATTTATAAATTATTTTTTTAGTGTTGTTAATTTAAAATTATATATTAAATAAAAAAAATAATTATAAATTTAATTTAATTAAAAATAATAAATTATAAATTATGGCCTTATAAATTAAATTTTTTTAGTGTTGTTAAAAAATTAAATTTACATATTAAATTTAATAGATGTTTTATTTAATTTCATTGTTTAATTATTATTATTTTTAAAAACAAATTTATTTAAAATTTTAATTAAAAAAATATATATTTTTATTGATATTTTATTTATTTTATTTTAAAAAATAAATTTATTTAATTGTGTAAAAAATAAAATAAAACAAATTTTTATTTAATCTAGCTAAAAATAATTGAAATATTAAAGCTATGTTTAATATTGCTATTACTTAGTAAATAATTGAAAATGGTAAAATAGTCATTAGAGCATTTATCCTTCTCTATAATATCTCAAACAAACATTGGATAACTAAAAATAGTCTAATCTAGACATCTAATCCCATGACTAAACAAAGATAGGATACAAATTTAGTCCAACCAAATAGTCCCGGGACAATGTATCCCAGAACTAATAGTCCGATAGATTGCAATTCCCCCTTATCCAGTCCGTCCAAACAAATGCACCCTTAGGCCATGTTTGATTCAATAAAAAATATAAATTATAAATTTAATTTAATTGAAAATAATAAATTAAAATATTGTGCAAAAAATAAAATAAAACAAATTTTTATTTAATCTAGCTAAAAATAATTGAAATATTAAAGCTATGTTTAATATTGCTATTACTTAGTAAATAATTGAATATGGTAAAATAGTCATTAGAGCATTTATCCTTCTCCATAATATCTCAAACAAACATTGGATAACTAAAAATAGTCCAATCCAGACATCTAATCCCATGACTAAACAAAGATAGAATACAAATTTAGTCCAACCAAATAGTTCCAGGACAATGTATCCCAGGACAAATAGTCCGATAGATTGCAATCCCCCCTTATCCAGTCCGTCCAAACAAATGCACCCTTAGGGTATGTTTGATTGACAGGATTAGAGTATAGAATTGGGATTATTAATCCATGAGCCCAATAATCCTATGTTTGTTTTGAAATTTTGTTTTAGAATTATTAATCCAATAGATAATTAATCTAAGAAATTTGTAAAATTATTAATAATGGGATAGAGTTGGGATTGTATATCCTGAGTTGAAAAATAAAATAAAAAGACTCTTTTACTTTCATAGATTTTCTTATTCAATGCAAATCAAACAATGGATAAAGAAATAATTTATCCTGCTAATCCAATTAGATAGTGAATACCACACTAATTTGATGAGATTATTAATACCTCCACTTTAACCTTGTAAATCAATCAAACATGGCCTTAAGGTTCTGGCTGCTTTCAATTCTATTTTTGGTCTATATGGCAATTTCATGTTATGGATACTAGTTCTTTTGGGTTGTACTTAACAAGGAATGTTCTTATACAACTCAGAATAAAAATGGAGACACAGAACTTCAGTTTGCATTTTATTTTTACTAGGGTTGTGGAAGCCACCCGATGGGTGTGCTATTAAATTTATAAACTATATATTTTGATTTTGAATTAGAAATATATATATATATATATATATAGTGTTTGTTAATCAAGTGTAAGAGTGTTATTTTCCAAACTTAAGATTTTAGGTTCAAATCTTATGCACTTCACTTTATAAATTTCTTTTTTCTTTTTTTTTATATAAAAAAATTTACTTGGCAAAAGGAGAGACTAAAGTAAGTTGTTCACGTATATAATAGTATAAATGAGTGTTCTTGGTTATCACAACAATCACCAAATTAACAGGAAAAGAGTAAGGGGAGAAATATTTAGACTTCGTTTAGTTTAGTTTTTGAAAAAAAATTAAGGCTTAGTTTGGCAAGTTTAAAAAAATCTAAAAAGTCAAAAAGTCACATCATCTTATTTAAGTCGCATCACCTCTCTAACACATCACTTCAAACCCAACCTAAACACAACCCATATTTCATAAAAAGTCAAAAAGTACACTTATTTAGATCATCCCAAACAAGTTTTGAGTTGTATTTTCAAAATTAAGTTGTTAAAAAAAAGTTTTGAAAATTAAAAATTTATTTGGGTATGAGTTTTGAAAATAAATTTGGAATGATATGTAGTTTTTTTTTTTTTTATAGTTGAATAGATAGTGTGAGAGAAAATTTAATTGATTGATGTGTAAAATAAAAAAAATGAGAGAGGAGAAAGAAAAAGTGATTGATTGATTTATTAATAAAAGAAAAAGAAGAAGAAGAGAGGAGAGAAAAAAAAAATTAAAAAGAATTTTGAAAATTGGTAAATCAAACATATATTTTGATTTTTGTTTATCCAAATGTTAATTTAAAAACTAAACCAAACAGTATCTTAAACTTCTTTTTTTTTTTTTAATCTAGTTGGTTTTTTTTTTTTTTGGGCTTATTTTAAAAAAATGTGTAAAAAAAATAGAAAGGTGATGTGACATATATAAGCCAATAAGTTGACTTTTTTTTTAGTTGCTAAAATAGGCCTAAATTAACTCTGCTATATTGAAAATAAATGGATTTTTTTTTTTGGAAAATGTTAAGAATGAACCCATAACTTACTCAAAATATGTTTGTATGATGGAAATTAAATTGATAAAATGTGAGATCATGAGTAAAATGAATTTGAACCATTCTAGGTTAATAAGGGTGAATTTGTAGTTTTTTTTATTTATTTATTTTAGGCTGTGAATTAGGGGATTGATTTGAAGAGGTTAAAGGAATTTGTTAATCCACTACTAGTAGGAGTGCAAACGAGCTAAACCGAGCCGAGCCGAGTTTTGATAAGTTCGAACTCCGTTCGTTTGCTTATTGAGCTCGTTTATTGAGCTTGAGTTCGGCTCAACTCGATAAGTAACTGAGCTCAAGCTCGACTCGGCTTGGCTCGACTCGGCTCGATTCGTTAAAATTAATGAAACTTGAGCTCGACTGGATAAGATTTTTTTTAATACTATTTATATTATTTAATATATAAATAATGTAATTATTTATATATTATTGAATATATAAATATTTATTATATAATTTAAATAAAAATAAACGAGCCGAACTTATTCGAGTTCGAACTTGACTCGTTTACTAAATGAGCCGAGTTGAGTTTATTCATGAACAATTCGATTCATTTATAGTTCTAAATACAACAATGTTGATGAATTACTCCACAATTCCCCCGCGGATTACCTTCCATGCTATTTCAAATCTCACCATAAATACATTTATTTGGGTGTAGTCAATTAATTGAATTTTGAGACATTGTTGTGGATAACCTGCCATTGCTTTTGTAAATTTCATTACTGATTCATGTGTATATATATATATACACACAGGGGTGATAGAGGACTCAACTCCGTTCGTTTGCTTATTGAGCTCGTTTATTGAGCTTGAGTTCGGCTCAACTCGATAAGCAAATGAGCTCAAGCTCGACTCGGCTTGGCTCGACTCGGCTCGATTCGTTAAAATTAATGAAACTTGAGCTCGACTGGATAAGATTTTTTTTAATACTATTTATATTATTTAATATATAAATATAACGTATTTATTATATAATTTAAATAAAGATAAACGAGTCGAGTTTGACGAGCCGAACATATTCAAACTCGAGCTCGAGCTCGTTTATTAAACGAGCGTAATATTCGAGCTTGAGCTCGGCTCATTTACTAAACAAGCCAAGTCGAGCCCTTAACGAGCTCAGCTTGTTTGTGAACAATTCGATTCATTTGCAGCCCTAAGTATTGGTTTATGGCCTCATCAAATTAGACAGTCTCTATGTTCTTTTTCTATCGTTGAATTGTGATTTTTTAGCTTACACGTTAAGGAATTCCAATTCAAAGTTAAAAAAATGAAGGGGAGGAGACAAAGTTGCTGTTTGGTTAAAAAAAAATTAGTTGGCATTTTGGAGTTGGGATTTTTTAGTTTTGGATTAAAAGGTTCGTTTGACATAATTTTTTTGACTTTTTTTTTATTTTTGTGACAAAAAAATTGAAATGATTATAATGTGAATGTAACATTTGTCTTATTAGCTTATTTTATCTTTTGTGCTTCTTTTAATCTCAACTAAGATAGCCAAACAAAGCCAGAGTGAATTTATTGACAATCAGGTTGATGGATAGCAAAGTTGAGTTGAGGTGAAGTAGTTGAGCCAGATGGTGGCGTTTGTGGACAACGATGGTGGTCAATGGTGCCGACAGTAACAAAACCAGTGGGTAGGGATGTAAAAATGGCCTGCGGCTCGGGGTGGATCCAGGCCCGAGCCCAGCCCGAGACCCTAGGCTTGGGCCTGGGACCTCATTTTGAAGCCCAACCCATGGCTTGACCTATCAGCCCTCTCAAGGCTCATTCAAAGCGCAGCTCACCCAAGGCCTAATATCTTTTTTAGTGGAAAAGAATAAAATTTTAGCAGAAAAAATAAAAAAATAAAAAATAAATGTCAAGCCCGCCCAGGCTCGGCCTAAGCCCAAGCCCAAGCCCAGATCCCAGCCTGCTCAAGGCTCGAATACCCCTTAGGCCTAATTTTTTGGCCCGTAGACCGGCCTGACTCGCACTTTTGCGGGAGCTCGGACGGCCCAACATGGGTTGGTCCAAGTTCGAGCTTGAGCTTGAGCATGGACTAGGCCAAGCCCAAATTAAACCCCTATCAATGGGCAATTATGAGCTACTAGTGTTGAAGAATTGTAGAGAAAGAAATCTTAAATGGAAAACAAAAGATGCCGCTATGGAAAAGTTATTGGTTGGTCCAATGTAGTTTTACGGTACTCCATATGTACTGTTATTAGAGAAGGGAGTGGGACTCAATTTTATATTAAGTGATTAGAGACATGAGGGACTCCTAATTGCTATTTTGGCCCAAGAAAAATTAGGTTTATTTTCTAGATTCAATAATATATCACTCTATTAAAATATCTAAATTAAATCTCTCTTTTATTTATTATCTAATTATCAAGGCAGGAAAATTTAGACTAACCGATCATCTTTCTGGACATCCAACCGGTTGACCGGAATAGTACTATTTTTTTTATACAATTGGCACCTATTATTTTTTTTATTTTAAATAAAAAAAATTCGGAATTTTCAAAAAAAAAATTATGAGTTTTGAATAGAATTTTGAATTGTGTGTTTAGTTATGAATTGTAAGTTTTTGTATCAAATATCATATGTTATTAATTTTCTTTACATCTAGTACATAGCAAGGTTTCCACTAATTTTAAACAAATTTGAAACAATGTATTTGTAATTTACATTTATTTATTTTAAGAAGCAGTGGCAAATTTGAATTTAAAGCGGAGGAAATTCAAAATGCTAAACAGGAACCATTCATTTGGGCATTCACAATGAATGTGTTAAAGTTGTGTGTTAAAGTGTGTTATATGATAAAAAGTGTTAAAAGTGTGACTCAAAAATGTGTGTTAAGAGTTTGTTAATTTAGTGATTGAATAGTGAATGAATGGTAATATAATGGATGTGTTAAGGGGTGTGTTAAGAATATAAATATATATATATAATAATAAATAAAATAAATAAATAATTTAGTTTAATCAAAAATTTCAAGCCCAAACTAAATTTCAAGCCCAAAAAACAAGTAAAAAAAATATATATTGCCGTTGACCGGTCAACCGGCCGGACGTCCAACCGGTCAGACAAAATTTTTTTTTTCCCCTCTTTTCTTGAAGGGTCCGGATGTCCAGGGTGGACTTTCGGCCGGACGTCTAGGCGGACTTCCCCCAGGCACACTCCTCTCTCCCTTCGCTGATTAAAACGCTCGCTGCAGTTAACACACTTTCTAACATCTGACACTAGCAAAGTGTGCTAACGCTGCTCTTAGCAGCTCCACTACAGCACCAAACAACAAACTTTGCTAGCTAAAAATTAATAACTGACACTGACAGCTCCTTTAACAGCTCCATTGCGGATGCTCTTACATAGACGCGGATTTTTTTTTGGTTTATTCACACTCCAATTTTTTTTTTTATAATTATTGCAAAATTTTACTTTTTTAAAGTGTTGCATCGACTTTCATTTTCACCTCTTTTGACAATTTTTAAGTTTTTTAAGTCACACCACCATTTTGTTTTTTTATGCTTTTTTTTAAAGAAATTCAAAAAATTTAAAAATTAACTTTTACCCTATTTCTAAAAACACTGTTCCCACAAAGCAACCAGGTATCAGGATCCTCTGGAGTAATTGGCCTGAAGTGATCCCTGAAGTGTATTGATCCAATGGCTGAGAATCTAACTAACCAAAACGACGTCGTTTTGGTTAGTAATTTCAAAAAAAAATAAAAATAAAAATAAAAATAAAACCTGATTCAAAGTTCCCAAATCATCTGTGATATGTGAAGCATCAGAGACGAGAGAGAGAGAGAGAGGCTGAGAGAAGAGCTTTCGATCCACCCCTGATCACCGCTGCCACGCCGCTGCCGTTGCCACGCTGCTGCCGTTGCCACGCTGCTGCCTCGCCATACTCCAACAGATTGAAGGAAAAGAGCACAGGTTTGTTCATCCTTGAAAGTTAAAAAATATTTTTAGGGCTTTGAATCCAAAAATTAGGGAAAATCTGAAAAAGTTGAATCTATGGTTTGTTCATCCTTCGAAGTTAAAATATTAGGGCTTTGAATCCAAAAATTAGGAAAAATTTGAAAAAGTTGAATCTATGTTGATGTTTCAAATCTAATGAATATTTACGAATCTTACTTCTTCATGTTCTTCCTTACAATTTTTTATTTTATTTTATTTTAATCCATAAATTTTTTTATTTTATTTTATTTTATTTTATTTTAATTTCTGTTTTCTGTTTGCTTTTAGTTTAATTTTACTTGGCCTATGGAATTTTATTTTTTTTCAGTTCCCAATATCCAGGTGAGGCTGTATAAATTTAGAGTATAATTCGGTGATATAAATCTCTCTCTGGGGCTTTCAGGAAACCATATTATCATTCATTCCGGTAAATTTATTTATTTATTTTTTTGTCATTGCTTACAGTTGTTGAATAATTTTGATTTGCACTGTAATTGTTTTGTTTTGTTATCCACAATGATGTTTAACTTGTTACAATCTGAATTTTTATCTGTTGCTCCTTTCTCAAATTTATTGTTGGTGGTGGTAGATTTTTTTTTTTTTTTTTTTGGATTTTGGTTTATGAAATTCAGGTTTATTTTTTAAAAGGGATTTACATATGAATGCACAAAATAGGAAAAGAGTATTCAACCTGGAGTTGGAGATATTACTTTGATCAAATTTTTGCTTTTTGTTCCTTTAATTTGGATGGTAATCATTATTTAAGAATAGCTCAGTTGCATAGGTTGATGGGGTTTGGGTTTTGAAGCTCAATTGATATTGGCATGAACATTGTGAATTGTTATTTGCTTGAATGCATCCATTGCTATTTGCTTGAATGCATCCATTGCTTGAATGCATACATTGTGAATTGTTATTTGCTTTAATCTGACAAATGCATCAAAATATAAGACAAATCAGAAATAGCAAAAGTTAAGGACCAATATATATATGCTTGGACAAATAAAATGAAAGAAGTAAGTAATATTTTATGGGCAAAACTATTTTATAGATGAGATTTCAACTTATGGACAAATCATTGAATATTTATAAATTCCCTACTCCCATTATCCATTTTATGTACTTATTTACCTTTATAGATGGCAGGATTCACTTCCATTACCCATTTCATGTGATTTAAAATTTGAGTCCTACTCATTTTTGTTCCATTTGTTATGTCAGGTAAAAAAATGTCAACATCAAATGCATCTATGACTGATATTAGCGAAATTCAGTTTAGTAATCGGAAATGTCGTTGCGGGGTGAGAGCAGCATTCAGGATTTCAGAGTCAGTAGACAATCCGGGGATGTTATACTTTGCTTGCTCTTCAAACAACACCAATGGATGCGGCTTCTTTCAGTGGTGGATGCCTGTAGCTAAGTAGCGTCAATGGTTGAAGATGATAAGGGAGGAAAGCGACGGCAATTGTAATATCAACCCTTTGGTCAACGAAGTTATTGTATCCAATGATGAGCTGAAAGAGATAGTTACAAAGCTTACGAAAGAAAGTAAACAAATGGTCGTAGAGATTACACAACTTCAGAAAAAGTTGCACTACGCCATTGTAATAATGTTATTTGGATTTGGACTTCTTTTGTTGTTTAAAAATTAAGTGTAATTTAAATTCGGATTTGAACTTCGCCTTTTGTGAACTAAATATTATGTGTAAATGAAGTTGGTTGTTGACTTCTTTTGTTTGTTTGGATTGTTGGTTTGGATTGTTGGTATGGTATGTTACTGTTTTTTGTGCTTCTAGTTTATGTTGTTATTGAAGATATGAAGGACAATGGTCCATGTATACACATATAGAATTCCATGGACTGTTGCCATTTGTTTACTTTGATGTAAATCAGGACACTCCAATGATCTATATCCTCATGTGATGCTCAGATTTGTGTCCCACTCAATTTCAGACCATTGTTATGACCAAACATATATTTTCAGATTTTTCAGAAATTCAAATGGAAAAATGTTTTATTCAAATTGAAGGGTTATAATGATTGACCAACATATCAGCACAGATTTGGTTTATTTGGTTTACATATCAACACATATCAACATATCAGCCCAAATAAACTTATTTTTTGCTGATATCAAACTAGAATGAGATTCCCATGATTTGAACATAACGTAAATTTCAGCAACATATTTCAACAACTTTGAGCACCATTTCAGCACATATTTCAGCAACATATTTACACAAATTTATATATTTCAATCCATGAAATTAATGCTCCATTAAAATCCATGTTTTGAATGTGTTAAGTTAAATTCCTATTCATACTTTGTTTCATGGCTAATAACTCATGTTTGAACTAAGTTGAGGTATCACCATGAAACCTTCACAAGGGTTAGTGATGCATGATTTTATAAACGTTGAGTACAATATTGTTAGCCTTCTACGAAATCAAAAGAAATGATTATTAATTAATTTAGAATTTTCATGTCAAATATTAAAAAATATATTTTATGGCATATTAGAAGACTATTAGTATAAACAACATACAATCACACTTATTTAGAAAATGTGATTAAAAAAAAGAAGATATAATCACAGTTATTTAAAAAATGAGATTAAAAATAAATATTATCACACTCACTCAAATTAAGTATGATTAAAATATCAATCTAATTTTTTTTATCACACTTTCAATAAAAATGAGATAGTTTCATTTGTCAAAGTGTGATTTTTAACTATTTTTGTAGTAGTGCAAGCGACTCCCTTCCACTAGCTTCCCTACCCATTAGCTCAAATGCAACACTAAGACGAATTCCAGATTGTTCAGCTAATTCTATTGCAGCTACCTGTGAAGTAGATATCTTCCTTTGAGATAGTAACATATGAACACATTCTACCGATACAAAGATATGGTTATGTTGTTCAACAAAATCACTAACAAAAAAATTCTTAATATTCCTATCCCCCTTAATGGTAAATTGCAGTCCTCACTTCCTACCTAGGATTTTTTTGTCAACAGATCTTGCTTGTCGGTAGCCTGAAACCCCTCCTTATTACAAACAAATAGCCTTGAAGTGATTTGCCCCTCCTTGTTCTTGTTTACATAACCCCTTCTAATACTAAACCCCATCCTTCCTCCATAAGCATTATAGAAATTATATGCTTCTTGTTCTGTATCAAATGTCATGTGCACTCTAGGCTTCCAATCACAATCACCCCCGTCATTCTCAACATTGTTAGGTTCCATATCACTGTGCCAAGTCACTTAAAAAAATAAAAAAAGGTGCTCAATATTAGCATAAAAACTGTAAATTATGTTTGCAAAATAATACAAACTAAATAAAAACACTACAAGAATTGAATCATATTAGATTATATAAACAAAGGGGCACAAAGATGGTCTTCATATTAGATTATATAAACAAAGGGGCACAAAGATGGTCTTCATATTAGATTATATAAACAAAGGGGCACAAAGATGGTCTTCATATTAGATTATATAAACAAAGGGGCACAAAGATGGTCTTCATATTAGATTATATAAACAAAGGGGCACAAAGATGGTCTTCATATTAGATTATATAAACAAAGGGGCACAAAGATGGTCTTCATATTAGATTATATAAACAAAGGGGCACAAAGATGGTCTTCATATTAGATTATATAAACAAAGGGGCACAAAGATGGTCTTCATATTAGATTATATAAACAAAGGGGCACAAAGATGGTCTTCATATTAGATTATATAAACAAAGGGGCACAAAGATGGTCTTCATATTAGATTATATAAACAAAGGGGCACAAAGATGGTCTTCATATTAGATTATATAAACAAAGGGGCACAAAGATGGTCTTCATATTAGATTATATAAACAAAGGGGCACAAAGATGGTCTTCATATTAGATTATATAAACAAAGGGGCACAAAGATGGTCTTCATATTAGATTATATAAACAAAGGGGCACAAAGATGGTCTTCATATTAGATTATATAAACAAAGGGGCACAAAGATGGTCTTCATATTAGATTATATAAACAAAGGGGCACAAAGATGGTCTTCATATTAGATTATATAAACAAAGGGGCACAAAGATGGTCTTCATATTAGATTATATAAACAAAGGGGCACAAAGATGGTCTTCATATTAGATTATATAAACAAAGGGGCACAAAGATGGTCTTCATATTAGATTATATAAACAAAGGGGCACAAAGATGGTCTTCATATTAGATTATATAAACAAAGGGGCACAAAGATGGTCTTCATATTAGATTATATAAACAAAGGGGCACAAAGATGGTCTTCAATGTTAAATTATGTTTTAAATGATCCAGATTGAACACAAATTCCTTAATTGAGGTGTTCTTAAGAGGCCTGAGAACTTGGGCTACGAGAAGATTTCTAAGCCCAATCAAGTATTGTTCAATAAGTCACAAACCAATTTCACATGCAATCATCCCCAACCCCCACCAAATGGAAATCTGCTGATAGACGATTCCATTTTTTGTTTTTTTTTAGGGTCCAATGACGATGGGCTATAACTGGGAGCTATGTATTTTTGTGGTCCAAAAAAAAAAATTAATGGATAAATTACAAAAACACTATTGATTAAGCATACAGTCATATAGTAATTGTAATTTTATGTCCAATTTTGTTATGTATAGAAGTCCATTGTCCATGTATGTAATATTTTTTTTTTTGTTCTTACTATGTTGTCTCAACCATTTTTTTAAATAAATTTTTACTATATTTTTAAAATTTCATTGCCATCTATATATACTTGCATTGTATGCATATGCACAAATTAAGGAGTTATTGACTAGTAATTCATCAATATTGCTAGATTCTTCTATAGATTGAGCATTTTCTAAATGCAAGCCTGAGCAGATATCTAAAGTGCCTCACAAACAACATACATATGGGCCTGGACTCTAAGTAGTTCAAAAACAACATACATATGTTTCAAAATATTACATGTAAAGATATGTGGTTGAGCAAAAAATACTATATTGTTAGGGCCAATCAAAGTCAAATTTTGAACTCCAAGATTCTCTTCCCTTATTCTTTTTCAGACCTCTTTGCTAACTATGTCTCAATCACTGCCAGAATTCTTTCAATTTGGCAATCACAATCCTTCCAACAACTCTGCTTTTCTCCCTCCTCACAGATTTCGTGAACTTCTTTAAACAGTTCCATCTCAACCTCCAAAACGGTGGAAAATGCAGGACTTTAGGGAATGAGGTGTTCTGCTTCTTTAAACAATACATATACATATACATAGTGAATTGGAATTGTTCTGATCCACCTCAAGAAGTTGAGATGGAACTGTTCTGATCCACCTCAAAATGCAGAACACATATACATACTGAAAAATGCACAGGACACTTTAAACAATACATATACATAAAAAGGGATGAATGAAATGTTCCCACACCTCAGCGATGGCGGCAACGACTGGACGACGACGGCGGCGACTGGACGGCGGCGATGGTGGCAATGGCTGGACAACACTCCCGTCACTCTTCTCTCTCTGACTTCTTCTCTCTTTTTTACATTCCCGCCACACAGCTTTGCTTACTGGAGGGAAGGATTTGGGAACTTTGAATCAGGTTTTATTTATTTTTTATTTTTTTATTTTTTTTTGAAATTACTAACCAAAACGATGTCGTTTTGGTTAGTTAGATTCTCAGCCATTGGATCAATACACTTCAGGGATCACTTCAGGCCAATTACTCCAGAGGATCCTGATACAGCAACCAGGGGCTCATCTTCCTCTTCTCCTCTGTTTTCAATTTCTCTCTTTGTTTATTTTTAAAATCAAGTAATGTATAAAAGTGATAATGGATTATAAATTAGAAAAGATATGAAAGGGATCATTTATTTTAATATTTTAATATACTGTTATTTAAAACGTGGGTTAACCCTAATTCAAATTCAACCCATAAATGTATAGGGGAAATTTCATGCAAGTTATAGAAAGGAAAAAAAAAAATTATCAATACATAAGAGATACAAGTATGTTTATAATAAAATACAAATAAAAGATTATGAGGGTAATTTATTGGTAATTCTTTTCTCCTTCACCCCTATCTATAGGTAGTTTCCCCATAAATGTACTACTAGTACTATCATCTAAACACAACCAGACCCTGAAAGCCAAATTGCAAATCTGCAACAACATGGTATCAGCAGAAGTTTTTGGAGCTCTTAGAGATGGCTTGAAGTTGAACTCTGTCCAACAAACCGACATACTGGAATCTATATTGGTAGCATCTTTCACAATTGTCATAGTTCTCCTCATACTTCCATGTGAATACATAGATGACAGTCCAGTTCCAAATGTCATATTCAAGGGACTACCCGCCACCTTCCACGCATTCGTAGTGTGCTTGATCTTCTCCTTTACTGGCTCGTTGAGCGCGTTGTTAATCCATGACACCTCATTTCTTGCCAAGCTCTGTGAGTACTCTTCCATGGCTTTCATGGCATCTGCTCTGTCTTTGTTGCTTTGTGCCATGTTTCAGCAACCATGGATCTCCCAGGTGGTGATGGTCTTAACTGAAGAAAATATTTGGTTTCGTAAACTTAGCTAATGTTGTTGATTTTTTATTTTATTTTTTTTGACTGTCTTTGGTTAAGTCCTTCAAGCTTTGTTTTCCATACTTGAAAGTGGAATCAGCTAGCTGTAACAT